ACTCGTTCACATTATGTCATTCACATTTCACGACAACAACTCGATGAAACTAAGTTGAATGTTCAACGGTGAGTTTTGACTTGCGAATTTAATAGATTCTGGTGATTTTTCTCAATCCAAAATGTATACACTGTGATGTCACCTAGATCAACAAAGCCCACTGCATTTCATCTCTTACAGATTTTGAGTCAGTCTGATGATAAAAACGTTTCCTCTATACCGCATCAACATGTGGAAACTGATAAATGGCATTGTAAACTCACTCAAATTGACTATTTTGAAATCCGTGCAAGAAAGCCAGATGTTAAGACAATAAACTTATTTATAATTATGTTAATTCCATCGAAAAACAAAGGAGGAGTGACATTGTGTCTCAATTCGTCACTGCCGTTTTTATGGAAGAGATTTCAGTCAACCTATCGTTATGGAATGTTTAAAACTATGTGATCACATTATAATCTGCGTGCTGTTGACTAGCACGTCACATTAGTTGGATCATGAACATTCATCCATAGTAAATCATATTTTATCCAAAGAATATTGGAGTCAATATGAACATTAGATTACGGAATGATTTCAGTCATAGTGATGTTATTTCAATACTCCAACATACGACGAACTGAAGAGTGTTTGTGATTACTCACTATACATATCAATGTGAAAGGAAACACTTACCTAACATGAAAATCTTCAGTATTTTTGATACTGTACAACTATCTACTGCTTATGGTATATCAAAATTTGAAGACCTGACTTGTCTACACGTCCAATTTATCGGATGAACAAGATGAAATATAGATTTTGGAAAGTAATCGATTGTTTCCAAGTTAATTACGATTTCAAGAAATGTTTCCGCGATTTTAATAACTCAGGAAAGTTCAATATCATGGACACTTCCAAGTGAATGCACAATCAACTAACTGACATATATTATCTCATCTATCGTTTTGTAACATAATGTACGCTTAAGTGAATTTTATAAACGTGAAGGCGTGAAGGACATCCATCCTTCATCATTTTAAATAATCAACAGAGAATCCACGTATAGATTAGTGTGATTTGATACTAGTAGCCAAATTTCATTTAGTTATTTACTGAAATTGCACATGAAATTTTCAATATTTAGAAACAAAATTGATGTATTCAACTGTGAAAATAATCATTTATGATACAATAAGGTTTAACATACCACCGAGAGCTTCATACACCACTAACGTTCCACTTTTGATCCATTTTTCAAGAACATATGTTTCAGTTTCAATTTCCTTCACATCTTGTGAAATAAATTTTACAGAAGAAAATAACTGAGATTTTGTTTAAAGAGCGACTGTTAAAAAATGGGAACAAGTTCTCGGAATATCCATGATGAAGATTTTCACACACCATAGTTATATTAGTCAGTATACCAAGTTAGGCGTAAGTCAGCAGACATGAATCGTGAAATTCATTGTTTACAGAAATCAGAATATAAAACAGAAACAACACCAATACAATTTCATCAAAACAACGACAATCGTTTATGTGACACTATCAAGGCTGTCGGTTGTTCAAATGAAGACACAAAAACTCGATTTCAATTCAGAAGAATTCAGTAGTTCACTGTTCAAAAGACTTGATCAAAACACGCGGTTTTGTCAGCACTAGATTAAACCTTGATTTAGTATCAAATGTGATATTAAACTTCGCTTCAAGATGTGAAAACACATCATCCACGTTGAATTTTCAATAAACAGTAGTGTTTGGACAGTGAGTTTACCAGAAGCATTCAGATTTTATTTCACACGTTTTTCATCAACACTTTAATGACACTTCAACCAATCTGTTCTCACACGAAACTACTAAATAATGTGGACTGTAAGAAAGATATATTAGATCACTAGGACAGAATACAGCAAAGTTCTGTATTGACGTGGTGATCAAAGGGTACATAAAGAAGTTAATATTAGACTAACACATGACTGCTTGTGTAGGTCGGTGTTAATCAAAATGTAAATAACATTTGCTACCTTCTTTTCCGCAATCAAACCACCCGAAAAGTTTGGTTTCCTTTTGGTTTTCGTTAATTGCCTTAGAAATCTGAAAAGAAGTAACGGAATTCTGAGTAAATATTTGTCGACACAAAGCCACCTTATCAAAGTCAACCAATCACTGAAGGAAAGTGTCGTCATTCATATCACCTTACACAAAGATAATTAATTACTCAGTAAACATACTGAACTCCTCACTTTCCTGAGGAGTGTGCCTGATCTAGTCTACGAAGATAATCTGATTGACTTCAGTTGTCAACGTCACTGAAATCCAATGGACAGTTTATTCATCATGCAATGATGCTCTACATTGTGAGATGACTATCTTCGTCACTTGACGGAAATGTGATAGTGAATAACTGCAATGCCGCTGCACGTGTATTTGTTGTCATGTTGAGGAATTTTGTTGATGTACTCAATTCCATCCATCACCGAACATACAATTCCTGATTACCTCGAAGCAATCAAAGTGGATTCAGTTCAACACAAATGAAATCTTTCATCTCACCTGCCCTTTCTAGTTACCACACATCTGTTGTATTTCAAATTGGTGAAGTACTTAATGCTGACATTCGAACAAGTACACACTGATAGACGATCAAGATTTTAGCACTTTATCTCGCAGATTATTTGACAATGAAATTTTCAATTAGCTGAACGTCAGAAGACGTAGTAAAGCTTGACTGGAAATGTCTGTGTTGGAAAGTACTATAAAATACACTGTTTATCCTTAATCGGCTCAAATATGTCAGAATTTCTATCGATAACATTTGACTTCCTATAATTCATTGTTTGACAAAGGTGCTAGAATTAAGTGTGTCATTGAAAAGTTATTAATAGAGTTGTATATTCTGTGTGCACGTTAGTAATGTTGATATCTTTCTATCGTATTCAATGTATATTGATGCATCCGACAGTGTTGACTTGAGCAAAGTAAGATAACAATCTGAAATACATCAAACTACACTACATTGCTATTCAATTGTGCAACTTACGTCCTCATAATAGATTGATATCTTCCCATTCGGATGTATCAGAGTAGTTATAGTGAATGCAGGAACTACAAGCAGAAGACTATCGTTATTTAGAATTTAAGGGCTTAGGGATTAGCATGTCATTGTTAGATGCGAAAGTGTATGTGCCTACGTGCAAAGTGATCAGTTTTATGCAGGTATATTCTCCGTTATCACAAATGTTTTCTTTGGTAGAATTCGTAATAAATATAATCTGGTGAACGTCGTGTAAATGAAGCAAGTATGCATCCTACAATATAAATATCAGATAACTAGGCTCCGAGGCTGTATTACAACCTCGTTTTCATATCGAAATAATAAATCATCAAGCTTCCAATTAAATCTGATAGTTGAGGAGTTATTGACATTTGCTCAACACTCTCTATAATTACACCTGAAAAAATCGACCCTTAGTACACATGACATTAGCTATGGTTTGTTCGTTTACAAATAGAACATGGTAAGTTAGTCGGTTATGCAAGTTATTGGTTTCTCAGTATTCGATCACGATGGAAAATGAATAGCTTCGGATTTTTCGTCCTGGTCATTTCTTAATTTGAATGAGTACTTTTTAGGAATGACCGTGTGGTGAGTAACACAAATTTACTTATTTCAGAATACAGACTTCTGATCAAGCAGCATTGAAGCCTGTTGACGAAGATGTATCTCTACATTCGTTTATCCTTAAGTAAAATGTGTTTATGACCTAATTTATTCATACGGATCTCTTTATTGCACGTCAAATCTAGTATGCTACTGATTATGTCAACTGTCCATCAGGTCTCAATCAATGTGTTCAAACAATCGATGGTTTCCCCCTTCCTAATTTTTTGTGATGGTTACACTTTATTACTTTTGACAGTTTTTGAAAAGAATTCAGTGATGTAAAATGAACAGAAAATGTGTAAGCAAGTACTGTGAATGATGGTGTAGGTGTTTAAATATTTCACGTGTAATCAAATAATCATTTTATGGATACATACTTTCATCACCATCTTTATCTAGATAATAAGACGTTCTGACGGCTAATAATTCCCCTGAAATGATGAAAGTAAAAATATTTGCGTTTTTATATATGTATAATTAACATCCACAGAGAATCAGTTTGGACACAAGTTATCATCTTTCTTTCAAGATTTAAGTAAACTGGTTCAATTAAATGAGAGTTGCAATAAGACTCATAATTATTTCAACGATATGATGAATGTTTCAATCCAATCAACTGAGAAGAATATTCTACTTCCGAAGCGTTGATTTTAAAAGCTTCAGACAATCTAATAGACCGGTAATATCTAAACGACAATACACATACAAAATCATTTTCTGAAATTGAGTTATTCCAACCGAGCAGTGTTCCCTCAAATGAACTAATTATTACTCAGAAATTCCACTTTAATGTCACTTTATGCAGTAACTGAACAAAATGAGTGAACTTCATTTCGATGTTCTAGTTGTTTCGGGTCGAATTAATCATGCTTTACCACTGCACTGTTTCTAGTAATTTTTTATCATCTGTCATTATTATTACTAATGATATGGTCAATACACAGTGGTTCACAGATAGTGACTAAGAGACATTAATTCTTTATGAAGTAAGTTAAAGAAAAAAAATTTGGATATCATTAAATATAATTTGGTAATCCATGTGATTTAATAATGCAAAATGATTTTTCACACAACATCGTTTATTGTTGTAGATGTGTTCAGTTGGATTCGTTCGATTTATTATTTCTACTCAATTAATTTGCGTCTATTTCGAAGTGAACCATCGTTTTCACTTGACAGTGATGCGTACGTGTTGTGAACACGTTTTAGAGCATCAAATCACACAAGCAAATTAATCACTGTGTACTGGTCAGCTCCCAAAATGTAGCCAGGTCAAATATTGAATCATTTATGCAAAATAAAAGTGAGAAATGAAAGGCAAAACAAATTATCACCGTATAATAGAGGTACTCACACTCATCCAAAACTTCAGATACCGTATTATAACCGCTTCTCACATAATCTTTAATTTCTCCTAAGTACTCTTGATCGTACACTTCAATTCTACCTGTGTTCATCGAATGAAAAACATGAAATTCAAATAACATTATGTAGAGAATAAATTAAAGACTTTTAGATTAACTGGAGACAAAATGAGTTTCATGGACCGTAACTAAATTTCTGTAAAGCTCTAAACTGTTCACACATTGAACGAAATAAGTTATCAGTAGACGTTTTGAATGTTAGAAAGGGCATAAAACTGATTAACTAAAGAAGTTAAAACAACATCGGTACACGAAATGAAATGTGAATAAACAAAACTCGGTAACAATTTTAATTCAATGAAAATCATTCTCTTACCAGTAGTGTATATTCTGAAGTTGCTGACTTGAGAACCGTAAAACGTAAACGGGAATGGTGCATCAATATCCTGATTATATGCAAACATATGGATTAGTACCTCAATTGCTAAATTTAGTCAACTTACTTTAGTATCATCCAATCTTACAAACTTGCCGCGAACAATTGGAGGAGGCTGATTAGAGAGAATTGTCTCGGAATAATCATAGTGATGAGACTGAATATGTGTATTAGAACCTGACTGATTACTTACATAAGTATATGCATCGTTTGTTAAAATTACTTTTTCGTATTTCCCTAATTTAGGGTTTGTGCAAATTTCATGGCAGTCGAAGAATTTATAAATTACTACGATGATCAAATAGAGCAGTATAAACTGGCCAGTTGCAAAGCTATGCCTGGAATGGTACAGATAAAAGTATACAGCCTTATTTCATTGAAACAAATTGAAGTTCATATAACACACTCGTTTGCTTTAAATGTACGGTCAACACTCACCTCATCTTCTTGTTCACAACGGTAATAATTGTTGTTAGACCTTGTCGTGTTTATATACATTTTTTAAGTGTTTGTTTGTTTCTTTCTTATTCGACGATCCAAAGTGACCATTAGAAACATCACGTTTCATAAAATCATATGATCATTGTTAACCACTCATGGTGGAAGACGAACTCATCGGAATGCAATATACTTCTAGCTGTTGTACTCTAAAGTCTGACAATTATTCACCATTGGTTGAAATTCCAAGGCCTCTATTGATCAAAATTATATTGGATATGATTAGCAATAGTTTAAACTGAGACGTTTATATGTAGGTCAAAATGTGTGCTCATATTTTCACAGACAAGCATTTTGTTACTTGTAAGGATTTGTGAACTGTTTACTAATGGTGCATTACTTTGATTTGATAGGTTAAAATATAAGTAACAAAACCTGTTTTGATTAGATAACTAAATTTTTATTTTTACATCTGAATTTATGTTTAATGAAATCAATATTGTCAGACGACTCTATCATCGTTGAATGTGGGATTGTAAGTTCGCAACAGTCACAAAAATACCCATTTGACTGGCATATTGTACCATTGTCTCTAAATAGATTTAGCGATGAAAATAGACAAAACGTTTCTTATTAGTCAGGTAGAAGTGGACCTGTATGTGTTCAAACTAAACGTAATGAGTCAATTACTGTTGAATGATTAACAGTCTACACTTTCGTAAATGAATAATAATTTCAGCGAAAGAAGCCCAAACTAATCATGATTTGCTTATAATTGCAAAATGTAATTCTTGGCAGTGAATTTTGCGCTGCAAAGAGATGTCCACAGTAACCGAAATATTGCTTCCACGAGTATCATATTCTGTAGTCGAATAAACGGTTGTTGGGTAACTTTGCGAAATCATGAACATCAGCATTGTTTTCAATTATACATAAAATTGTTCCACTAATATCTGGCCTATTATCAAATTACTATTATTCGTGTAGTTACAGTATGTTTAAGTAATTATGTAGCTTATTCACTAGGGTTTGATAAAAGTTCACTTGGGTTTTGGTTCAGTTAATCGTATCCACGGAAGCAAAAATTATTGGAATAGTGAATTAATCTCATAAAATCACTGTCAATTTCTCATAAGACAATTTAATGTTGAATAGATACCAGATTACATAACTAGTTGCTATGATATCCAAATTATTCAAATTAGAACTTATCTCAAAATTAAAATAATAATAATAATATTTCACAGATTGAAATCATGAGTCAGTTGAAGCTAGACCACCATTGAAAACCTGGAAGCACTGGACGGCCGTTTCGTCCTAGTATGGGACTCCTCAGCAGTGCGCACGGTAGCGCAACTTCGTGGATTGGTTGAAGTGATTTTATGAATCAATAAAGATTACTTTTTAAATCAGTGAAAAAAGACATTTGGCGGGTGACTTGAAATGATATTAGTAATAATAATAATTATAATTATAATTATAATTTATATATGAATCACTATTTAGGTATGTAAATCAAAGTACAAAATAGACAACTAAGATTTAATGTTGAATAGATACCAGATTACATAACTAGTTGCTATGATATCCAAATTATTCAAATTAGAACTTATCTCAAAATTAAAATAATAATAATAATAATATTTCACAGATTGAAATCATGAGTCAGTTGAAGCTAGACCACCATTGAAAACCTGGAAGCACTGGACGGCCGTTTCGTCCTAGTATGGGACTCCTCAGCAGTGCGCACGGTAGCGCAACTTCGTGGATTGCTTGAAGTGATTTTATGAATCAATAAAGATTACTTTTTAAATCAGTGAAAAAAAGACATTTGGCGGGTGACTTGAAATGATATTAGTAATAATAATAATTATAATTATAATTATAATTTATATATGAATCACTATTTAGGTATGTAAATCAAAGTACAAAATAGACAACTAAGATTTAATGTTGAATAGATACCAGATTACATAACTAGTTGCTATGATATCCAAATTATTCAAATTAGAACTTATCTCAAAATTAAAATAATAATAATAATATTTCACAGATTGAAATCATGAGTCAGTTGAAGCTAGACCACCATTGAAAACCTGGAAGCACTGGACGGCCGTTTCGTCCTAGTATGGGACTCCTCAGCAGTGCGCACGGTAGCGCAACTTCGTGGATTGCTTGAAGTGATTTTATGAATCAATAAAGATTACTTTTTAAATCAGTGAAAAAAAGACATTTGGCGGGTGACTTGAAATGATATTAGTAATAATAATAATTATAATTATAATTATAATTTATATATGAATCACTATTTAGGTATGTAAATCAAAGTACAAAATAGACAACTAAGATTTAATGTTGAATAGATACCAGATTACATAACTAGTTGCTATGATATCCAAATTATTCAAATTAGAACTTATCTCAAAATTAAAATAATAATAATAATATTTCACAGATTGAAATCATGAGTCAGTTGAAGCTAGACCACCATTGAAAACCTGGAAGCACTGGACGGCCGTTTCGTCCTAGTATGGGACTCCTCAGCAGTGCGCACGGTAGCGCAACTTCGTGGATTGCTTGAAGTGATTTTATGAATCAATAAAGATTACTTTTTAAATCAGTGAAAAAAAGACATTTGACGGGTGACTTGAAATGATATTAGTAATAATAATAATTATAATTATAATTATAATTTATATATGAATCACTATTTAGGTATGTAAATCAAAGTACAAAATAGACAACTAAGATTTAATGTTGAATAGATACCAGATTACATAACTAGTTGCTATGATATCCAAATTATTCAAATTAGAACTTATCTGAAAATTAAAATAATAATAATAATATTTCACAGATTGAAATCATGAGTCAGTTGAAGCTAGACCACCATTGAAAACCTGGAAGCACTGGACGGCCGTTTCGTCCTAGTATGGGACTCCTCAGCAGTGCGCACGGTAGCGCAACTTCGTGGATTGGTTGAAGTGATTTTATGAATCAATAAAGATTACTTTTTAAATCAGTGAAAAAAAGACATTTGGCGGGTGACTTGAAATGATATTAGTAATAATAATAATTATAATTATAATTATAATTTATATATGAATCACTATTTAGGTATGTAAATCAAAGTACAAAATAGACAACTAAGATTTAATGTTGAATAGATACCAGATTACATAACTAGTTGCTATGATATCCAAATTATTCAAATTAGAACTTATCTCAAAATTAAAATAATAATAATAATATTTCACAGATTGAAATCATGAGTCAGTTGAAGCTAGACCACCATTGAAAACCTGGAAGCACTGGACGGCTGTTTCGCCTAAGTATGGGACTCCTCAGCAGTGCGCACGGTAGCGCAACTTCGTGGATTGGTTGAAGTGATTTTATGAATCAATAAAGATTACTTTTTAAATCAGTGAAAAAAAGACATTTGACGGGTGACTTGAAATGATATTAGTAATAATAATAATTATAATTATAATTATAATTTATATATGAATCACTATTTAGGTATGTAAATCAAAGTACAAAATAGACAACTAAGATTTAATGTTGAATAGATACCAGATTACATAACTAGTTGCTATGATATCCAAATTATTCAAATTAGAACTTATCTCAAAATTAAAATAATAATAATAATATTTCACAGATTGAAATCATGAGTCAGTTGAAGCTAGACCACCATTGAAAACCTGGAAGCACTGGACGGCCGTTTCGTCCTAGTATGGGACTCCTCAGCAGTGCGCACGGTAGCGCAACTTCGTGGATTGGTTGAAGTGATTTTATGAATCAATAAAGATTACTTTTTAAATCAGTGAAAAAAAGACATTTGGCGGGTGACTTGAAATGATATGAGTAATAATAATAATTATAATTATAATTATAATTTATATATGAATCACTATTTAGGTATGTAAATCAAAGTACAAAATAGACAACTAAGATTTAATGTTGAATAGATACCAGATTACATAACTAGTTGCTATGATATCCAAATTATTCAAATTAGAACTTATCTGAAAATTAAAATAATAATAATAATATTTCACAGATTGAAATCATGAGTCAGTTGAAGCTAGACCACCATTGAAAACCTGGAAGCACTGGACGGCCGTTTCGTCCTAGTATGGGACTCCTCAGCAGTGCGCACGGTAGCGCAACTTCGTGGATTGCTTGAAGTGATTTTATGAATCAATA